TATAAGCAGGGGGATTTGCGCTCTGTTGGATTTTGAATGCGATCTAGGAAATCTGTAGCTGATTGATTAGTTTTAAACCCATGATTAGCATGAAGAACACTTGAAACTGGTAAAGGAAACCTATGCTGACAATTTGAAACCTTTATTGGAACTGGGAACATCAAATACCAAAGTCAGCCTGAACTCGCAGAGGTAATCGCCATATACGCCATAAGTTGTTTTCTGATTGTATCAAAATATCATCCTTCTTCAACTCAAGGATTGTGTWTATCTTTATTACAACGACCTTCAATATTGTTTATCATATATAAACCGGTAAGCGTTCTTTCGATTGATTTTGCCTTCCCACTTATTGATCGTAATAAATCTTTATTTTAGGCAATCATAAATCATTTATCCTATTTGCAATATTATAATATTCCACTTGGAAGAGTTGTACATTTAATTTCATTTACGCTTTGATAAATTTAAGTTCTTCGTACTTTTAAATCGGAGGTTTATCTCATTGTTCGGAAAATCTGTTTACAAGAAAGTTTTCAATRTCGAAATGTTTGAAACTATAATATGCTCATCTCTCGTGATTCTGACAAAAGACTTTAAATTTGTAAAACGGTTACAGATTTGAGGTAAAGATTTGAAATTCATCAAAAGATCGCAATGTTTTTCTTGTTCTTAAACTTCAAACAATTTATGGTGACTTTTTACGTTTATTGCTGCGACACCCAGGTGAAGAGGAACTATCGATTCATAGAACACTGAAGCTGTTCCAAACACCAAGTCATATAGCTTGCACCTGCGCCACRCTTCAAACTAAAGTTGAAACAGAGATTTCGTAATTGGTTTGATTTTTTTTAAACTCTTCTTTGAGCATTTCTTTAGRAAAAAATAGGGATTCACCATAACATCACTCCATATCAATTCATATATCAAACGGCAACTTGGTAACGATCGAATACAAAATTGACGGACATTAAGAAAACTCTGTTATGTTCAAAGTAATATACAGTGTAAAATTGGGCGTTTTAATAGTTTGTTCAGAATTAATAAGGTTAATTTCAACGTGTCAAAGCTGCAAGGCGCACAAAGACTTTGCCTTCCTCCTAATTTTAAAGTGTGCAAACATTGATACGACATCGAGGATACTATGCCATGCACTAACGAATATCCTTATGGGACAATCCTCTTGTCGTCGCTACAAATTTGTGTTGCGTGCAGGTTTTCAAAATGATACATAGTACTAGTAGTTAATCTACTCGCAATATAGTAGGAATCTGCGCATAAATCAAAAATCATAACATTTAGTATTTAATGAAGTACTTCACTATCGAAGCCTGATGCTATTAGTCTAGCATGAAATTCCTCAGGACAGCCAAACACAGAAGTATACGTGAAGAGCACGACAGTTTTGATATATTAAAACGAAGGCTCTCTGCGGAAGTAATTCAAAGTTCCTCAATCAAAGACAATAATAATAATAATAATAATCTTTATTTCCATTCCATATTATAAATATTTACACACACATATATATATATGTGTTTTTTTTTTTTCCTTTCTAATTTAGTTTTACTTTACATTATCTATCATGGGAAAAAATGCTTTACATTCAAGGAAATGACTAGAGGCTAAAGACACAGAATTAACGAAATTCGTAATTGGTACAATTTGACTATTTGTTTGGATTATCTTTTTGAGAGTTATAAATGATAGGTTTTCCGAYATATTTCAATATTTTTGTCCCATTTCGATATCATAGATAATCAAAACATGATGACCGCTGATTTTGATCTGTTTGTTAGCTTTGATTCTAATGCTGCAATAGGACAAGGAAAACAGGGGATCAAAATATCCTAAAAACATTCGATTAATAGCTCAAAACAGCCTCACTATGTTTGTTTAGACAATTATTTATATCCGAAAAAAAATTTATCGTAAAAATACATCGCACTGACTTTACAGAGTTTATTTTTATAGAATACCAATAGATCTTGACGTTCGTCTTTTYGAAATGGTGGACGTAAAGCATTACCTAGAGAGATATCCTGTAGTACTGACTGGGATATATGAATCAAGAACATCCCAATCACTTCCACGCGCGATTGTATCGTAYCAGACACGTTGCCTAGGAGCATATGGTTCCCTTTATTGCTTGGGTATTACTCTCGTTATTAATCTACGCGCTTTTATCCATTGTAATATTGCATAGGGTAGCATGGGTGGTGTTCGCGGCTAACGCGTCGTCTTTCACCGCTGTGAGTCCAACGGGTCGGGTCGCTGGTTCGAGCCCTGCGGTCGCCACATGTGGATTGAGTTTGTTTGATGTGTTGTTCTCTCCTATGCTACGAGGGTTTTCTCCGGGTTCTCCGGTTTCCTCCCTCCGTAAAAATCAACATGTGAGTTSAGCGTTGTGTGCATAGAATATTAAATGTAGTGGTAGTGCGTGTGAGCGAAAAGTGTCCCCAATTAGTGCGAAAGCGCTAGAACGACTAGACACTTAAATAAAGTGATTTATTTTTTWAWATTTTATATTCCTCAATTTTAACGTCCGACGTCCGGTGCATGAAAACGTCCTCATCGCACCCCTTATCACTTTTCTTCCATACATTTATAAAGTAAGAACTGTCTTTAAAAGACATTTTTTAATGTTCATATTAACTGGTYTGTAGCTTTAGATTTTAGATTATGGGTCTATAACGGGAGTTATTCCTGACAGACTGCAGCCTGATTAAGTGAATACGGGATTAAAATTGACAGAAYATTTCAGTTCAAATAACACTGCTCATCGATGAAAGCCCTTTGTTGAAAAAGTAAACATCCTTAGCGTTCTTTTTGGAGAAGTCAGTYCTATATACAAAGCAAGTGCCGGCAAAATTTTACAAATTATAACAACTGGGTCTTAAAACTGAGTTCAACTGACCCAGATATCTAGATTGGTTGGTCTTCCTTTGCGAGGCTGTGAAGACTTCACCGGCATCAGTTTTTGACTGAGGAGGAATGTTAGTGCTCGGTCAACGCTTCTTTGAACATTAGAATAAATCCAAYTGTTTTCCAAATTGCTAAGTTTGTTTTCTTCAAATGCTGAATTATACATTKTAACTATCATCTAAATGGAAAGTGCTTTCATTTAAAGACGTAATGAGTGGATTTGACACCAATAGCGTCCGTGTTTTATAGATTCCCATCAGGAAAATCGTTTTTTGTAAGAAGAGAAGTCTATTTTGACTTTCCTTTACTTTAGCTTTTGCGACCAGATCTTTTTTCCAGAAGTTTCCGATCATTTGTCATTACAAGGTTGACTAGCGCCAGAATAGATTAAAGTTGATCTAGTCATTATCAAGTACATTACGCACGAAATCTTCCACTTGCTTCAAGCATAAATAGTTGTCAACTCTTCAAAAAATAAAGGCGGAAACTAGAGAATGGAGTTCTCCTCATTTTTTAACTGTACAAATGGGATGTATCAAAAATATACTTAACTTAGTAAATACTATACTCTTGGTACTCTGTATAATTATTTTTCACAAATATAAAGCTTCATGCGCTTTATCGAAGTCAGTCCCTAGAATGCGATTTTCTTTCCTTTAAAAGCCATGATTGATTTACCTACAAAGCTCAAGACGATTTGCTTTTCTTTTTGCGCGCACTGTTTTTAGGTTGACCGTCTTAAACTAACTCTTCATTTGGTCATTCGTTTTTTTTTTTGTTATTTTGTTCGTTACTGGTTCGTTTCAATACTATATATTTCATACGGTTTCGATGCTCATGATTCAGGTCCAGCCGGAACCCATTCTAAGGTCACAATATACTCTAGCACAAACCGATATCAGTCATAATAGAATCTCGTACGGAAGCAATCATACTAATCAAATCATATCCATACCTAGCGAAAATTAAAAGGGCTTTGTTTTTGTAGAATCACAAGTTAATCAGCTTGCAGTGAAAATTGATTGAAATTAATTACGTTTTTTAAAAAATAAGTGATAATAACATTTGCGTCATAGAATTTCCAATCAAGTTCAAGTTCAACCTCTTTTATTGTCACAGAGAAAATTAATATAATTTTATAGAAAAGTTTTTTCCCAATAGTATTGGTGGCAGTATTTCAATTTGATTAACCAATGATAACGCTAGTCATAACCTATAATAATCAGTGCATTCGTCATAAGTAGCGGCCGTTAATTATATTAYATGTAATAACCGTTCTCAGTTTTAGTTCAGTTTCTGAAACTTTTCGAGGAGTTTTTAGGATAGAGTTACTGCTGTGGTCACTTTAAAACAGGAATAAACTAACAACAATAACAATAACAACGACAAAAGAAGACAAAACTTATTGAAAAACAACGACAAACAACTAGGTCAGCCCACGTACACATTTTCATCTTAATAATATCCTAATAGTTAGATATAAAAACTAGTCAATGACAAAGTACTATGAAAAAAGTAGGTTTTGGTCCTACATTGACTTGTGTTAGGATTTCTTAAAAACGTTTTTTCTGTTTCGCGTTGACCTAACCGTGGCTCCAATTTAAGACTAATTCAGGCTACTGGTCGAGGTCGTCTGCTAGTAATTACATGGACCTTTCCAGCTGATATAATGCGATCCAGGCTTTACAAGTTATATTCAGTACTTTTTAAGGATTTCTACAGCACTAGATATATAAATATGTATGCACGCCCTCTCTTTAGGGTTACCGTGAATTTCATCAAAACTGACCACCCATGAACTAGAGATTTTGCCGATGGAACCAGGCCAGAGACTCTTAGTTTATAGCCTTTGCCATTAAAGGAGATAATACCGTAACAAGATATAAATACGTCTCTAATCTTAGCTTAAATTCCTGGTTCCTAAGTTTTAGATGCATTAGGGACAACGCATGGGGCAGGTCGACTGATTTCAACGGAATATCCTTAAATGGACCGCTCATTTGAATTTGTCAGGGACAGGTGTTCCAGTACCTTGCCTCATCAAATATTTATCCTTGTTTTCATAGTTAGTTTAAATGGGACAGTTACTTGCACAGACGATTTAAGTTAGTTTAAAAACCAAGGCGAATCCACTGTAGATTTATTGATTATGAGTAACGTGGGCGTAGTAAGGTGAACCAAGGTGAGATATGCGTGTACATTGAAGAGACTATAGTATGATTAACTTATAGAGTACTATACRCTGATTGATATATGATGTTCATTTAAGGAGTTCCTAAGTATCTTGATGTTCCTCTTGTTTTTGTTATGCAGCCTTTTAATTGTATGTTTATATTATACTACTAGAAGCCTTTTTCCTAKAACTAGACGCTTTAACAACTTTATTCCCCACTTTGATGCTTAGTGTATATATGAGCAATTAGTGTTAACGTGAAWATATTTCGACGTGACTATAGAATATCTGAATCATCTATCCTTAGTCTTCATAGTGGTTGTCATTACTGACTGTTATTGTCGTCGTAATAACACCTTTGAACACTAAATACTGCATTAGAAGTGTATGCTGCCCTCTTACCCCTAATGGGATACGAGAAAGCGTATATTTACAACATTTTCATACATCACTCAGACCTTTCTGATAACCACCAGGCAAACTAACGGCTGAAAACCAATAAGATGAGGTAGACTTAGCCATCCTCATTATGCAGCTTTCAGATTTGACTAATGAACACGAAAGAGGAATCTTTTTTTTTACATTTTTAATTTTGTAATTTTTAGAATCAAGGAGCTGCAAAGGTTTGTTCGATGAAAATGAAGAGTGGATGGCCAAGCAGCGGAAAATCTATCACCATCGTTGCAATTATCGTCACGTTATTACTAACAGGTTTGTTCTTTGCATTGCCAGTCAAATCTAATTATTGTCAGGAAATATGGCTCTAAAAGGTTTTTTGCTAAGGGTCAGAGTTTGTGAGTCCTCTAAGTACTTAGCGTGAGAATGGTAGTCGTGCCTTACAAGAATCTCCATGAAAGGCACTGATGAAAAATGTGTACACTAAAATGGGTTTTGTATTTGCACTAGAATRGCTTCACGTTTGCACCAAATGGATTTACCTTTGCACTAAAATGGCTTTCACCATCAACACATGGAAATAATACTGTTTCAAACTTATAGAATTTGATAGTTTCCCACGCGCGGAAATGAGCCTTTCAATACTTTCGGGCTACTTTTCATATATTGACTCTATAGTTCTGGGCTTGTCAACTCTGACAGGGTTACGTTTTACTCAACCACGCGCAAAAATACGCAAAATAAATGAAGGGTTCCTTAAAATGTTAGACAGCTATATTTCAACTGGGACCATAGGGCAGTTTATACRTTCAGTTTCTAAAAAAAACGGCAAATTGCAATCAAACTCAGTCATTGCTACRGCACCACAAATGCAACTAAGATATTAAGTAACAAGCTGGTAAGTCAGTTCAMACTTTCAAACTAGCTAGTACCACCTGTGAATATGCAATATTATAGTCTTTCTTGACAGCAGTTTCAACTGCATTAACAATCAGTTAGTATTTTCTTTCTGTTTTCGTGTAATCTCCAAATTAAAGTGCATTTTTATTGAATGAAAATCCAACCTTTCACACTCCTTTCTTGTATACCATTTTCTATTTTTCTTYGTTGCAACCTGTTCAGTCGGTTCCACCTTGATTTAAACGACGTTATTTACAACTAAATGATAATTCATCGTGCTGCGCTGTCTTTTTCTCCAGGTTATTATCGCTACATTTTTATTTGCCTTTTTACTAATGTCTGTTATGTAACAGCCGGTGTAGCATTACACTTTCTTTCCGTACCTTTCCTTRCCGTTTCGTAAGCACGTGTAATGGGAGTCCATTCATTCGCTCTGCCTTCATTCTATTTACCATAGGTCCAAAATGTCTCAAGATATCTAGTTATTTAATCCATAATTGTTTTTTTTTAACCATTGCTGACTACCATGCATCATCTCAAAGGCAAAACACTGCACCAAGAACAAACACTGTTTTGAAATAATTTYTCCTTTGTTTATGTTTTCATTTGTATTTAAGATTACGCGTTCATTTAAAGCTCTTCCTCCAGGCCACCGGTCGTATCGATAAGTTTCTAGAACAAAATACAAAGGTAAACCGCTCGAATAGCACGACTAGCTCTACAAGTCCCTTGCCTGGTGGCGGTATTCACGTCTTACATGACGTACCAATAATGCTAAATACTGGGTCGTCTTTATAATATTACACACAAAAACTGTAACAACAAATGGTACGGCCTGTTGAAGTTAAGGCACGTGGATTGAGATAAACAACTGGTTCTTGCATTCTGGTTACTAGTGCTTTTCTTATTCCTACTACTACTAATGCTCCAAAGAAAAGAAGCGTGGCTATTGTCAGATTATGAATACGATTTTTTTGCTCTAAACAGTGTTTTACCTTACTGATCCACTGTATTCCGATTGCATTGGCAATGCAATCATAAATTCATTAGTAATAACCCAGGTWTTAGGGACTTTAAGATTCGCAAAATCTGCGACGGCGACGTCAACCGGAAGTGTAAAATACTGCACTTTGGATTTCGAGTCCGTTTAAAATCTGTCTTCTCCCTGTGGATGAGTTGACTTTACTGACAATGTTTTGAATGAAATCTCAAATGAACAGAACTCCAAAGAGAAATTATTTACTCTTCCGGTTGACGTCGCCGTCGTAGATTTTGCAAATCTTAAAGTCCCTATTGCCGTTTGCCTCGGGTTCCGGTGCCTAATGAATTTTCGGTCCATCAGTTCATTCGGATGTTTTCCTTTTTTTCAATTTCCAGTGTTTATTAATGAACAAGGTGGTAACGGGCAATGCCGGCTAACAGGGCTCTGTGATGTGCATGGGGCCAGCAGCTCCATTGCATTATTTATTGCTACGGAAACTAATAAAAGGAGAAGTCCTTGGTGTCGGCCCTACGTGCCACCAGGGAGGTGGTGTCACACAGGCATCGGTAAAGGATAATGATGGTGACTGATTTACGACTAAAACATTACACCTCTCTCTTCCCCTCCTCCCTTGGTTGAACTCATGGGAGTTCCTCTAACATGCACTCGGCGGGGTTATCATTTGAGTATGACCTAGGGAAGTCAGTTTTTAGATGGATTTCCTAGGGAATCTTGTTTTTCTTCTGCAGATCCTCAACGAATTCGAAATAAGTTCTCAAACTTCTAACATTGCAAAATGCAATGCTTAACCGCGAAGTTCCTAAACTTGACTATTAGTGTTAAAATATTATCATTATTTCTTTTACAGTCGCCGTACCCAGCACCAGTGTATCCAACAAAGGTCCTACCATGCAGGTATATGCTATTATTGAATTTGGAATATGAAGCGCGCACTGATTGGCTGGCGTTAAAATATTCTAAATATAACGCACGAGTTGATTCTCTGGCTACTGTGTTGATATCAGAGTACTGAGACACGTTTGCGCAAAATCGTTCAAAAACATTTTATGAAAGGAATATAACAATTAATCGAAATGTTAATAACTGGGTTCCCTGTGTAAATGTTTCTGTAACACAGGTAGCCCGTTAATTATACTGCATGATTGYTACTCTGTTAATATTTATTTCATAATAAGTGAATTTGCTGTTAACGTGACCGATTAATTGTACTTGATTGATACAAGAAGAAAGAGGTTCATCAAAATTATTTGGGATTCAAATTTAGTAGAGAGTTTTAACATAATGTAAGTATGATATAGTTGATGCATTTCACAACAAGAATCGTTAAGCAGCATCATTTTATGTGAATCATGCTAGTAAACRAGTAAATTGGCTTTAGTTTTCCACATAATTTCACGAAAGGTTGACCTTTCTGTCCTGAATATGGTCATTTTATGTACCCGCAGATTTGTTTTTTTAAAGCCTAAGATTTTTACGGGTGTTTGAAGGAATCGTGATCTTGCTTAGGCTTCTCTATTACGTCGGAATGCTTGCTTTGCATCACAGACGAGTAGTGGGATGACGGAGTAGCCAGTCGTCATATAGCTAGCCAAACTACGAAGAGTTGTTGTTGTTGTTGCTGTATCCCGGGCTTCAGAGAGTTTCTATTTTGCTTCGGGGAGGTTTAGAMGAGCGCCGGCTTCCTTTCAAAATAGAAAACGCTGGAGCGAGAATAAATGACATAAGACCCCAGGGTATTGTTGTTACGATTGTTTATATCTGATTAGATTTTCGCCATATCCGACATCATACTATTATTAATTGCCGTAAACAGGCATAGGCTTATCATGTAATAATTCCTAGCGTTACAGCCAGTAGAAAATGCAAAGCAGGTCAGTTTCTCAAATTGTGTCCTTTTGCTTGATGCAAAGGAGACTATCTAATCAATATAGACCTAATTAGATATAGTTCGACAGCTTGCAAAATTTTCATAGAGAAAGAAAATGTTTTTTTTAACGCTTACTCTTTGTATTACACCGATTATCATACGCGACTAAAACAGCCCAAGACTGGGTTTTTGGCTTCTGTCAATCAAAAAAATAAAACATTTTTRTTAGCCTTTCCGAGGGTTCAGGAGAATCCTGGGTCGAGTTGGTATTACAGTGCATTATGGGGCTATTTTAGGGTACGGCATATTTCCAAGATGGCGTCTATTTCTTSCCCTAGAAAACTCCCACGATGCACTGCATTGCCAAATTCGACCCATTTTTCCCCCTGGCTATTGAGCGGACAGTTTGGAACTTTACATGGTGTCTACTGTATAGAGGTTCGTTTTACATTAAATATGAAGGAAATATTCATTGAATTAAATATTATCCGAAATAGTATTCGTTTAATGAATGGAGTCCGCTTTTAAAATAATTAGAGGTATCACTGTACTAATTCAGACCGTTGGAAATTTGACTGACRKAAGCCAAAAACTCAGACGTTCGAATTATACTAGTTTACTGGGTCACCGTGATTAAGAAGTTGGTTATAAAATGTGATGACCGGTTTGGGTTATAGTAATAATGCTGACACTAGTATACCAAGGATTGGAGGTAGTAATATCTGTTCTATAGGGGAGGGTCAAGATGTATCTTCACCTATCGCTAAGGAGTTGGAAATTCAGTGAGTTTTGAACTTCTATTACCCCCCCCCCCCCGCTTATTTATAACCAGACCCTTAGAGTAAAATTTTGAATTGTTCAACAGGGAAATAATAAACTGCATAACAGCACCAGTGAAGAAGAGTTCAATGCGGTAAGTAATGTTTTTCTTAAACAAATTAAGATTTTTTTTAGGAAATAAAGAAGTTGCACTTGATTATCTTAAAAAAAAAAAACAAATCATCTCATGAACCCTAATTTCAGTTTTATGCATAGTTAATAGTACATACATACATAGTTTACTCAAGATGCGTATTGCACAAGCAATACATTACATCAGCTATTTCAAAAACGGTTGGTAAAGGTTCTGTTGCATGCTGCATGTTGCATGTTGCATGTTGCATGTNCACTTGATTATCTTAAAAAAAAAAACAAATCATCTCATGAACCCTAATTTCAGTTTTATGCATAGTTAATAGTACATACATACATAGTTTACTCATGTTGCATGTTGCATGTTGCGTGTTGCATGTTGCGTGTTTTATGTTGCATGTTGCGTGTTGTGTGTTGCTTACCATGTAAATAATGTCAGAAGAAGAAGAAGATATCAGTACTGAAAAAGACAAAGTTTAGGTTCGGGCGTGGTATGGAACATGCAACATGCAGAAAAACCTTCATCACCTTTTTTGAAATAGCTTTATAAACAGCATAAGATCGTAGACATCTTCAAAGGTACTGAGGTATATGATAGCCTGCAAAGCAGGCGTTCTTGTTGGTTTGGGGAAAAACCTGGGTTTTGGGGGAAATTTAGAAATTTGGAACGAGCGAGAATTGGAACCGAGCAAAAAAGAAGCGAAGGGGGAGGGAGCGGGAAGGGGAAGAAGGAAACGCGTTCCCTTTTTTGCCCTCCCCCTCCCCCCCACGTTCCCTTCTTTGCCCTCCCCCTCCCCCACGTTCCCTTTTTTTGCTAGGCCCCATTTTTCTCGCGGGCAGGTAGTTGAAACAGGAACCGCAAAACCCCGATTCTTCCTCAAACTCATCACAAAAACGCCTGCTGCTAAGTTATGAGGTTATGCGGCGCAGGTTCTTGGCTTTCTCTTAAAATACAATATTACGGATTTTGTTGGAACGAAACATTGCCAGAGTTTATCGATATGATTCCTACCGATGCGCGTGCATCTTTTAAAAAACTGGATGCATTCTAAAGTTAATATAATATTTTTGATGYGAATTTTCTAACGAATGATCTTCATTCCTCTTGTATGCTTTTGCGCTGACAAGACAACCAATCATATAGGTTAAATATAATTTATAATTAATATTTTCGTGGACAGTACCTGGTGAAATATTGAGATTTGAACGTTTTGGATTGAGAGCTGCATTAGTTTCTTTTTTGGGTTCAGCCGTGCATCTCTTTTTGAATCCCGAAACTCTTTAAATAAACTGTGACTTGATCGTTATGTAGTTTCTTTTACGGATGGAAAACTTGGTACAACTGCTTACAGCTCTAGTCACAACTCAGTGATAGCTAGTAAAGATTATGGTACAACTACTTTCACCTCTAGTCACAACTTAGTGATAGCTAGTAAAGATAATGGTACAACTGCTGTCACCTCTAGTCACAACTCAGTGATAAGGGACATGGCTTAACATTTTAGGGGTGCCGGTTTCACTGGATGCCTGTCTAAATTCCCTTCCTGCACAAGATTTTCTCCAAAGTCAAAGTTAAACACAGCATACTTGAGAATGTACTGAGAATTGATACATGCTTGTTCTGGGGCCCGGCAGTGAAGTTTTTGCCYGATAATGTCAGGAAAACGTTTGTAACCTTAACCTATATATATACCTATTTTAATAAACGTTGTCATCGCCAAAGGCGAAAGGCGAAAGGCAATAGGTCATTTCGAGACGGAAATGGTTTCGTCAACTACAAACAACATTGAATCAGTCCATATTCTTGACGAGAATAAGAAGCAGAAACACAATTCATTCCAGCTGTTCTTGGATCTTGGTATGACCTACCTCCTATCGCTTTTCGCCTATCGCCTACGGCCTATCACTTTTTAGCGTTGACAACGTTTATTGAAAAAGGTATATTCTAATGGTAATGCAATGTTTTTCAACATGCACTGAATAATTCGTGTACCTAAGAAACTAATTCGGAATACTTGAGATACATACCGGTATGGAGTAGTTTATTACGCATCGTGTTGCCTTATTTCACCTGATAGAAACATCTATCGAAGGATAAAAACTATGCCTATTACAAGCTTCTTTGCAATAGCATTTCCCCCCTTTAAAAAAATTATTAATTAATTAATTTTTAAAAACATTTCCCCCTTTTTCATGCTCTACAAGACTTTTTTACTAATTGTGGATCGCATCATTGTTGCCTATAGTTCAGTTTCACATTCAAAAAACTATTTTCCAAGTCTTATAAAGTTGCTTTTCTAGTATCAAACAGAATTTGCTTGTGCAACTAGTAGTTGATTGCAGGTCTTTTCGTACTCGTAGTTCCCGAAAATTCGTATTGTGAAAATAACTAAAAGAAATCGAAAAATATTTCAACAAACAAGAGTCTTGTTTACAAAGTGTTTGGGAAAATATGCGCTTCAAGACAGTTGTTGTCTTTATTTGTACCTAATTTCTTCAGCGTGTGACACTCTTTCACTGATAACTTCAAAGGTTTCTTCAGCTTCATATGAAATAGTGATTAGCAGGTATTTGTTCCACCGAGAGACATTGGCGCGCAGTCAAAAAAATTTGTTTAAACTAGGAATGAAGGATTGTCAACAAGGTGCTACGCTTTATTTTGCACTCCAAATCAAGTTCCAACGATCAGACTTTCAACACATGCCACCTTAGATTTCATGATTAYATTTAATGGTTAGTTTTCAAAGTCGCCTCGCAGTCTTCTACTCACAGCATGAAGTGTAAAGCGACATTGTCTGGTACATTTATATTATTTTCCTTTGATCTACACCTATTGATGATACTGACATCCACCATATTGTCCTTGATACACTTTCTAGCCGCCAAAAACAAAACACCAGCARGATTGCAATGATCGTGATTAACTTCTTGGCGGGAGACTTGTTATCTTGTAATGCACAATTCTTGTGGCCCCAAGCTGAGCTTTTTTTTTCCATTCAATTATTGCCGTGTGTGAACTTAATAATACTAGTGTTAATTTGGTGACTACTTTATGATATGGTCTAAATGAAAATAACGGAATTGAAAAATTAAKCAAATCAAATACTTGGATTTATGTGAAGGTATTTCCATTAACGCATTCACACCCTAGGCAGATGGGATTCAGCCATAACGGCGCTTCATTGGCTTCCCGCACACTGTAACTAAAAGCAAAGCAAGGAAGCCATGCTCATGTTCTTTACAGTCCGTAGCAGTTATACGTTAYTCGCAACCTTGTTGAGAATAAAGCGCGTTCATACTGGGTATCATAGTATATACAAAATTAACGTCATTCACTAGTGACTCCGCCTTTTGCAGGTGTTTGTCAGTTAAATTTCCTTTAGAATTGTCGTTAACAAGATGGCACGCGCCTACAATGGATTAGCTGTTTGCCCGCACGTGGTGCTAAGCCTAGAGTATAATGCTACTGAAATCCTTCCTTTGTTCCTACACGACGTACRTTACTAAATCATATGTCAAACTCACACTGTTGTGCAACTGTTAGAAAAGACGTTGCTTTACCCTCATATTCTATTTATCATTCGTTGCACGACGCGTCACGCTCAATAGCATATCTTTTTTCTAGTATTCTTTCCTTGCCTCCCTGACGAGTGCTGCCCTACCAGCTCATTCTYCGCGGCACGCGCCAACTATCCAAAGTTAATCAAGTGTAAAGCACTAATGGACAAGTTCGTTCTTTCCACACTTCAATGACTTCACTTTATTAATACAATATTAATGCCAACGGTAATAGAGCCGATAATGGTTTTTGTTAGCTTCGCTTTTCAAGTCAGTTGAAGTGTGCTGTTTGCGTGTTAAAAGGCTGTACGTGTTGTTGGCTAATTTTGACGTTTATTTCTGCCATGTGGTCTATTGTGGTGTCATTTAGCGATAAACAAGRCCTCTTGAGTTTTTGTTTATAGCAACCAGCTTATGTCGTTGTCATTTTTAAATGAAACGAAAATAATAATCTTCGTGAAGGTAGTGACGGTTATTTATTTACAATAGCCCCCTTAAATTTGCTACAATTTCCCTCCAGTTTTTCCCTTCGATGGGTATCTTTTTCTCCGGCCGTCTTAACGACATTTTTAAAAGGCTTTTCATCAAAAATATAGGTGTCTTAGCAGTAACATTTTAATGTTTTATTTTTAGTATTTTTTCATAACAGTCACAGCATTTTTCATGTACAATAGAATTCGAAAACTTTTTGATTTATAATTAATAAAATTTCATCATTCATTAATTCTTCTACGTGCTCCACAATTTTTCCGATGGAGTCTTGTCCGCTGTCAAATTCTATACTAACTTTGATTGGCCATTGGAAATGAAATGTAAAATAATCTCATCGTTTTTTTTTAGGTTTCTGCATCGAACATTAGGGGGRAAATGAGGGGGAAAATCAACTAGTAAGCCGCGCAAAAATGCACAGAGCTCTTAACGTACCAAAGTGAAATGATAGTTTAAAGAAACAAAGCCATAGTGACTGTTATTTTATTTTTATTTTTCCTTTTATTTTCTACCTTAATTCTTCTGTTAGCAAAGCAGAGCATAGTTTGTCTATTAATTATGAAGAAAAATGTACAGAAGGACATAGAGTAAGCGTCCGTCAGATCTTGTGTTGTGTCCCTGTTCGTCTTGAGGCTAGTTTTGATTTTATTCAATATAATTTGACACGTCAGACTTCAAAAACACAAAGTGATCTTGGTCGAGATGATTAATTGAATGCTCCGACATATTCAAGCAAGTCAGACGGATACATACTTTTTCTTGTCTGAAAAAATTCTCGCTTTATTCTTCCTTTCAAATTAAAAAGCCACTATCCATTCTTGACGAACATAATCTTCTTTGTTTGTTTGATTATTTCTGATTTAAACCTTCGATTCTTTTTGTGAAGTTTGTTGGTGCAAAGCCGGTGGTTGGATTGTTCTGTCAAGAGTATTACCGTTTCCGACTAGAAGCCCATTAAGGACACGTGGTAAGGACTGAGCATATCAAACAGAGATTATTTGAAGCTACACGTCCTACACACCTTCAGGACGAAACGAATTTAGAATACTCTGTCAAAAGATTAACTATTCTCCAAGGTTTGAATTTATTCTACTTAAACTTTAATGCCTGAAAAAGCCATTACCTTTTTTTACTTTTGTTATTTTCCCGCCTTTTCTTTTGCTAGCTTAATGATATAATAGTAATTAATTCGTAAAGAGATTCGTAAAGAAACCTTGCTGTTAAATAATTCTGATTTTCGCGCTTCTAACATTCTCATCAGTTCATTAAAAAGCGAATGTTTTCGTCCGCATCTAGTTTTTGTTGTTGTTTTTTTCTTTYGTGAATCTTTCCATTTGGACGAAAGTCCCCTTAGGTGATAATAATGAAAGTTCTAGTYATTTGCATGGCTGGAATAATACCTTTAAGGTTGTTTTGACGTTAGTTTTTGTGTGAATAATCCGAAAATTGCATTATTGTGGCGTATCAAAGATAAATCTATGGATCAGACGTTATTCCACGACCTCAAACACTGCTGGCTGTGCCAAGAAAAAAAAAACTAAAAAATTTCATATCTTTCACATCTTGTTTTACTTTTATTTGCAATTTGCTTCACTATCAATCCCGTAATCTAAAAAATTCGTCTGGATTCCTAATAGTGAACGAGGATTCTTTATAGAATGCTATCATTTTCAATGAAAAATACCAAGAAATTCGTTTCTATAAGCTTTCTCGGGCATTAATTGAATACCTGGGGTATTAGAATTGATGAGTTTACGAGACTCACTGCATGGGTCTTGCGGCCAACATTTCCTAAATGCGACCGTAGTTTGGTACTAAGATCAAACGTCGACACCCGTTCATCAGGTTAAAAAACGTTTTTGTGGGTGGTCTCGTAAGGTTTCAACAGGTGTCGCTCTAGAATGTCTTTTCCCGCCTTTTTTAGTTCGTTCAGTTTAGGTTAAAAAACGAAAGATGTGGTTTGTTCGATCGCTGGAGTTTAGTTTCTCATGGTGCGCATTGTTGATCGCGCTGTCGGAGACGGCACGCGCAAACCTCTTTTGTCATAATCCTCATCTATTATTTCTACTTTGTTTAACGCGTGCCACTCGAGRCCACTACGCGTAGTTCTTTTCTTTGTATTAAATTAAAACCGTTAGAAATATTGCATTGGATCTGCTTGACTCAAGTGTGTATTATTTYAATTCTTTTTCTTTTTATGTCGTTTGATTTTTTTCTTCTTGTCGTATTTCTTGGAGGAATTTACTTTGTTTTCATAGAACCGGAGAATTTAATRCTACATACGTGATATAACCACCTAAGAAAGTTTTCTTTTTACATAGAATATATTTGGCTCGACCATACTAATTATAATCTAATGCAGAGGTTATTAAAATTAGAGACCTCTTCTGAAGAAATTAGGATAAAGAGCTTAAAAAACACCTGTCCTAAGTATTTTGCCTCTCACAAACAGCCTTGCCGAAACTTGATAAATGTCTAGGAACTTTAGTAAAATCTTTGAAATCCATGATAATTTTCAGTTGCAAACGTGTTTACAATACATCACACACCAAAAGCCAAAGAGCCAATCAAGACTTGAATTAACAAACGATAAGTTAGCTCGGGTATCAAGCTACGTCACCTAATTATCTGACGCATGCTCAATAGACACTTCACCGCACCCCATTACAAAAAGTTACTTTCCATCTGTCTGCATTAGTCTCACTTTACATTCGATATGTTAGTGAGAGCTCCGAACTCATTGGACAGAAACGTCGCTTTGAATACATGTTGCAATCGGATATTTTACGCTTGCTCTTCTTTCCAAATCAATCACTAAATTCGAGATAGTGATTTTTATCAATGGCTTCTGGGTTGTTGTTAAAATTCATTTTTTTCGAAGCTTTACTCCATTTCATTCATGTGCAGGTAAAAGAACGTGATTCCTCGTGTGCCCGTAGGTCAGGTGCAATATAGTGAAACTTGGTCGATCTCTCGCCTCAACGTCAACGTAGTACTTGATAATGTTATGTTTATTTCTTTCGTAGACCGCAGTCGGTGCTGGAAACTTCGAAATTCAGTTGGTTTCGTTTCAAAACATCGCAGGGAGGTTACGGAACGGCGATTGTTGTGATGGGAGTCCTACAATATATGGAAACCGTCGCCATTGCCAAGACCCTTGTGAAACGTTCTTCAAAATTTGCCTCAAACAATACGGACAGTCTGCAAAAGCAAATGAAGCCTGTTCCTTCGGACAGTACACGACTAAAGTTCTAGGAGGAAATTCATTTGCAAGCTCAAGCAGTGCAGARAACATATTCTCTATCCGTTTCACGTTTTCATGGCTGGTAAGTACAACAATAATTCTATATTTTCGTGTTAAACTTTTGTAAACAGGGCTGTCAACTCAGTGATAGCGATTCCGTTATTTGAGACCACAGCAAAATGCCAKTTTGTGTAGACAAAATTTATGCTGCCTTTTTACGGAAATGGGATATATTTTTCAATAATAACAGGTTTATGCAAACGCCATGATTCGYAGTCGCCTCGTTTAACCTTGAACTACAGAGTGGTAATAAGAGACATGACATTTCCCCAATATTTTAGAGAATTTCTTTACCGGATATTACCCTAATGTTTTATTATATGTTTATGTCTCCCGAGTTCTTACTAAGCGTACTTCAGTGCTCGAGATCTGTATGAACGGAAATTGAATTCGCTCCTGTGCTCTTAGAATCTATTTGGAACGGCACGTTCAATTTTGGTTAGAACGACAACAACGTCCAGATTCAAAATGCGGAATCAACACAGCTGCAGTTATTTAAACAGGCCCCACTCGGTCGAATCTTTTCACTAGAATGATTTTCATTCAAGTGCATCACCAAAAAGTCTTCAAATGTTGTTTACCGTACCAAGCCACGTGTCTCATTGACAGTCTTTTGTGTAACTCGATGATAATTAATCCAAGTCTTGGAGTTGACAATACTAACAATTCTAAWTCCAGAAACTTTCGAAAAAAACACTTCTTCGAAAAACGGTCGTATTGTTTTAAGTRCTCATTTCGTGATGCTAGAAAAACACTTATTTATATCTGATGTCTTACATAACTTGTTATTTATTACCACTAAATGATATGTCCTCTCATATGCACGCATCCGTCTCCGTCCATTTCGTTGAGTTTTAATGGCCAAACGGATYCCTTGTGGCATGAACACCGCGACTCTGAAAGAAAACATGAATATATCACCTAAATCACCTAGATCCGCTAGGCTTTAGTATTTCATTTATACAAAAATCATATTACAGACATGCTCCTCAGCCGGTTTCTGTTGCCGTGGTAGTTGTGTATCTATCACAAAAAAGTTCGATGTCAATTTCACAAGAGGTTAGGTTAATTTCACTTTGCAATATACGGGTTTTGTGAAGATCTCAGAGTAGCTAAGATGCGCAAAAAGTCTTATAATTTCTTAGCATTTTGTGCCATTGGGACAAAAAAAACTAATAATTTCTTGAATCCAAAAGTTATAAAAAAGCTCTCTTCAGTGTACTTGATCAACAAGCAGAGTTTTTCTCTAACTTACAAACAGGTACACTTACGCGCAAATCACTCGCAGGAARCGTATGCTCTAAAAAAGCTCGTTAAAAGGCTTTAAGAGTCTTTAAATTTTAAGTTAAAGACAAAAAAATGTTTGGAGTAGAATGTTTTTTGTTTTGAAAAGACTCAATACTTATTGTGGAATCGCTGTGGCTGTGGAACAAACGAACAACCTGTTCTTAAAGAAGTTGTGTCTTTCAACGCAAACAATAGATCATTTTTAAAAAGAAATTATAAAGCAATTTCGGTGATCAAATATGCGTCAAAAACTTCTTAACAGAGGCTAAATATACGCTTCGCTTTAAATCATATTAGATATTAGATATTAGATATTATTTAAGATAGTTATACATAAGATAATACCGGAAATACTTGGTGATATTCAGACGACACATTTCTGCGTTCTTGGTGTCGACTTAGGGCAGCAAATGATGTAGTTTTGGCAATGTTAAAAGACTTCGTTGTATAACACAAACAAAGRAGTTCAATTTTATTTTATTTTATTTTATTTTTTTAAAGTTCAAATTATGAGCAAAAAGATTGTTTTTGATTCTACGTTTTACGATGTTACGTAAACGTATTCTGAAATGTTCTTAAAAACACCTTTTTAGATTTTTCGTACATTTTTCTGTCAGTAGTTCTTTTTTGGCGGTTTCTCTTTACATACTCTATCAATCGTTTATACTATTTGGAATCTACAAAGAATATTCCTTATAGCTATTCAATTGCGCTTGACCTATGAAAAGTTTTAAAGAATATTAGACCGCATATTATGTAACTGTTGGTTTACAAACTAAGAAATTGCCGTCTTTAGCGCCCCTATAGCGCATATGTTAAAACACGGTAGCAGTTTTGCGTTCTTTTTAAACTTTGATCTTTACTTCATTCATATGATATTTTAAGTACGAGTTCACCTAAAAATAGTTTTAAAAGAACGATTTGAATGATTTACGATCTTTTTAGTCTTTGGTTTTTCGATCTTCACAGTTTGAATTTAATGAGAAAAATATTGATTACTAAACGTGCTGAGGTTTGTCTTAAATATCTTACAAACTATCCCTACTGGTATACGGTAATCTTAACAATAGGCGATAGACCAAAGCATTTATGAAGCTCAATTTTATGCATAGCTAGTGTCATCTGTACTTTATCCATTGCAAAGGTCTCTATGACAGCCATACATTATGAATGATTTGGAAAAAAAATATTGAAGGACTGATACTGAAAGGAATTCTGATTCATTGTAATTAAGAAAAAGAAAAAAGGATGAAAGGAAGGAAAGAGAGAAAGAGAAAAAAAAGTGAGGAGAAAATGAGAGAATGAGGGAAAGAGAGCAAGAGAAATAGAGAGAATGAATGAATGAATGAAAGAAAGAAAGAAAAGAAAAGAAAAAATGATTAGGAATAAAAACATGATACTGAATCTATTTTTAGTTTAATTTTCTGGGATTTGGTTAGGAAAACTAGAAAATCTCTGGTTTCCTTTCTTTTTACTTAATTTGGGTCAATACAAGGGTTTCAGAAATCTGGGGAGGGGGAGGGGCGGAAGGGGGATGGTGGATGGTGGCACCATGCCACCCAGAATAGAAAAGTAAAAAAAAACAGGATCAACAAAAAAAAAAAGAAACAATCATTTTTATTCATTCAATCTTCATCATAAAATTTAAACATTTTTAATTGTTGAATCTAATTTCTAATAAAATTAAAAATGAAATAAACTAAATAAAATTTTGGAGGACACTGCCCTCCCCCTGTGCCCCAGTTGCTACACTACTGGGTCAATATATTGTTTAGATACATTGTGGCAGGCTAGTTCATATATTTTTAGATGCATTTAGCTCGGTTGTTGATCCATAGAACTAATCTCCAAGCTTAACAGACATAGTGCATGCYGGTCTAGCATTGTTATAAACAATGGTATAAAAATTTAAGCCTCAATGAACAAAAGATGTTTACTGAAGCTAGAACAGAATGCTTTATGTGTGCTATCTCTGAAAATGATTATATCATTCTTATCCATCTACATAATGTAATAACTTCCATAAAAAATTCAGGTATTAGATATTCTGATAATTATATCTATAGCTTAAGCCAATGTTTTTCCTAAACTTTAAAGCCCCAGGCAATCCAAGGTCAATGCTAGGTAATGTCACATGTACGTAACAGAGACAATGTCTTAGGCTTGGATCATAATGTTTATGTTAGGTACTAGTATAAGAAATGATGCTAGGTTTTTTTAAAGAATATTATAGCTTTGGATATTTACATATGGTTCATATTTTTACTTTTTGTTTTATTTGCTATACTGCTTATTTAGAAAAAAAAACTTTGAAATAAATCTYACTAATAATAATCACATACTTATAAGTAAAGCTCTATATCTTACAGTTTTATTTTTATAGTTAATTTCCTTTCAAGCAATCAATCAATCAAATACAAACCATTAACCTTGACAAACTAGGATATTTTGATTTGCAGTTAAAGATCATTTTTCACTTCTAATGTGAGATTTAACCAGCTTGCTAATCATAGACCCCACTAATGTATTTTCCCTATTATGGGGTCTATAGGTCAAGATATTTAACAAGAATCAAGTTACAGTAACTGAACACTGACTCTAAATGTGTGAAATCTTTAAAATAGTACATTAGATCAGACCTCCCTTATTAGATAACTTAATCGCATTTTCTAAACTTTTAGTTAGTGTAATGCATTTAATAATATCCCACCATCATATGATGTTTTAATTCTTCGCTTTAATTCAAATTTCTTCTTAAAAAGTACTCTTTGAAAAATTACTCTTTAAAAATTGTTACTTAGAATTTATTTTGATGTTATAGTCTTAATTGTAATGAATAATCTCTTTATCTTAACAGACTACATATCAACTGGTTTTGAGGGCGCATGATGCAGATAACTCAAGTAAGTTTTGTAATGCCTAAAGACGACAGATTTATAATATTAATGTTTTTTATCTTGACAATTCAAAAAAATGAAGCCACTTAACCTACTTTGCTATTATAAGACTTAGAATTTTTGTATAATAAATTCTCTTTTTATTTTCCCTTTTTTTTCTTTTTGTATTATCAAACTTCTCATTTTTACTTATAATTATTATTTGACCAAAGGAATGAATTTTTTCAAAACAGGCAATAGAATAAAATAATAATACTAGTAATTAGTTGATTCCTTTTATATTGCTCTTTTATTTTGTTAATTTCAATTTTTATAAAGTTCTTTGTTGATTATTATCAAACAGTTGATTTACTGATAAGAAAATAAAAATTTTTAATCCAAGATGTTTTCCAGTGTTGAGGGGTTACCATGGAAGCAAACACTGTCATCTTTTAACCTTGTCATATTAAAGTTACTTATTTTAATATATTGCATGTCCAATATATTCTTGTCAAAAAATATAAATCAATAGATTGATAATCAGTTAAGTCTAGATTACATTCATGGACAATATTTAAAACATTATTAGTTAATTTTCTCTGATGGTTTAATTGGTCATATCACATTGGGCAGTATTTTAGGCAGAATGTGAGAAAAGATGAATTATTAAAAAAAAATGCAAAAATCTTGGACATATCATTATAGTAAAATTGTTGAAATTTGGAGATATTTTGACCATAAGTCCCATAGTTTTCATCAGTCAAATGTGTTACATTTGTAAACCCTTGGGAGCTGATATCTTTGAATCATCCTAATTCAATGTGGGTTTTTCTATGTCTAATATCAATAGCCTCTAACTTTCCTCTTGTTGTATTGATTTCCAGCTGTTGTTTAATTTTATGCTCAGATGAAATATGTTTATTGATTATGTGTGAAATTATTTAATTTCTGGATCATCATTTACTCTTTTTTTCATTTATTTTGTTTTTTGAAAGTTTTAGAGTTTAATGGTAATATTCACAACATCCTTTCATATTTTATTAGGTAGTCAATTAATAGATCAAGCAACTCACCAAGGGGTTATTCTTCCAAATAAAACATGGGAAGCACACAGCTACAATGGTCCCACTGCAACCATAGAGTACAAGTTAAGAGTGGTGTGTGATACATTTTATTATGGACAAGGCTGCAACAAGCTATGCAAGCCTAGGGATGATAAATTTGGACATTATAAATGTGATAAACAGGGAAATAAAATTTGTATGGCAGGATGGAGAGGAGAGCTCTGCGACATAGGTAAGGTCTCCTTTATGGTGGAAGTTTCTTTCCTTAGCTCTAAGAAGGCTTTATAAAAAAAGAATCTTAAATATACCAGTATGATACTTTTTAAGCTTGAGTCCACAAATATTATTCATGGGTTTATCTGTATGATACCAGTACCATTCATCATCTTCATCACCATCATAGCTGTCATCTTCATCACCATCATCATCATCATTATCATCATCATCACTATCATCACCATTAAAGACCTCTTGCATTGAATTCCTAGAGGAATTGCTCTGGGGGACAAAACAATAGGCCGTCTTCCCCTGAAGCAATTCCCCTAGGGACTCAATGCAAGGGGTCTATTACCAGCACCATGACATCATCATCATCATTATCACCACCATCATCATCATCACCACCATTATCACCATCATCAACACCATGACCATTATCATCATGTACCATCATCATCATGTATCATCATCATCTTCATAATCATCTTTATAATCACCATCATTATCACTATGACCATCATTATCATCACCAATGACATTAACAGCATCATGTCATCTTGTCAACATGCTCATCTCATTATCCTAGCTTTTAGTTGGCTATAGTTATAACCTCAGGTTGTAATGTCTCACCCTTGATCTCTTTACACCAAAAAAAACAGCCATATGTAGAAAAGGATGTGATCCAGAACATGGAAAGTGTTCCACTCCTGGCACTTGCAAGTAAGTTGACTTATTTTACAATGTCCTGCTCTAAAACTTCATGAAGATATCAATTTATGTCTTATTGCATATATACTGTTAATACAAGGGTATAGCCAGGATTTTGCTAGGGGGGGGGGGGGGCTCCTCAGTTGTTTAGGTTTCTACAGCATAAGTATGGGGAGGGGGACCAGGGCCCAATTGGTCCCACTGGCTATGCCCTTGAAATAAATTCAATTGATGATCCTTTCAGATGTGATTATGGCTGGGAAGGACCTTTATGTGATCAATGCAAAATATACCCTGGCTGCGTACATGGAACATGCTCAATTCCATGGCAGTGCAACTGTAAGAATCGCTGGGGAGGCCTTCTTTGTGACAGAGGTGTGTATGGAGACTTGCTTCAGAAGTAATTTATAGTACATCTGCTTTTATCACATTTTGAGTTAGAATTGATTAATAAAGGTCAGTTGGTTTTGTCTATGATTTTCTATAGAGGTGACTTAATATCATTCAGCTTTTACCAATCTTGCTTATTATATTTTATGTGCTTGTTGTTTTTAATCTTTTTTCCTTTCTTATGTATATCATTTATAATATTTTGTTGCACCGGCTTGCTTTACAGATCTGGATTATTGCCGTAAGTTACCATGCAGAAATGGTGGCACATGTTTCAACATTGGGCCCGATAGACACAGATGTGAATGCCTACCAGGGTATACTGGACTCAACTGTGAAACAAGTACGTTCACTCACTCTATTCATTTCATTGTAATTCCTCTTTTAGAACAGACTGCTAACCATTACTACTGATGATCTCCTTAAAAGACCTTCAGATTTTATCAATACCCTGTAACAAGCCACAGCTAACACACATAACAAATTGGAATTTAGCTTGTTAGGGTTTGTGGAGGGAGAAAAACCCTTAAGGAAGAGAACCAACAAAGACCTCCTAATTCGCATTGTACTTTAATCAAGGCATTTTCTGCTCAATGTCAACCAAGGCTGTTTTTAAAGTTTAGATTAATAACCAATTCCATATTTTAAATGTCTTTTTTGTTTCTTTTCCTGTAGAGATTGACAGCTGTGCAACAAATCCTTGCCAGCATAATGGGACATGTACCAATGATGGCATTGGATTTCACTGTACTTGTACATCAGAGTGGGAAGGAAGAACTTGTCAAATAAGTAAGTTAAGCTGTGATAGTTCTTAGTATGTAGAAATTTTGCATATCGCTGCATAGTAATATGCTATCCATTTGAATTAATATAATAACATTTAGAAAAATCGAAGTATRTATCAAATAGACTCATTCAGCTTGCTCATAATGTTTTCGCAAGATCAAATGTCATTCTTAAGAAACAAGATTTTTGTTTGAGCCTCATCCATATTTTTGATAGATTTTACGCATTACCGGTGAACAAAGAAAACAATGCTTGAGGGAAAGATGTGGTCTGAAATGGGAAAACACCCCACCCACGCTGAATGGGACAAATACTTGTTCTATAATGATTTTACTTGAAAACTTTGATTCATATAACATAATTTTCTTATCACTATATTTTTTCTTAAGGTAAAGACTGTAATAGCATGCCCTGCCAAAATGGAGGTACCTGCATTAATGCTCAGCCTGGTTTTCAGTGCAAGTGCAAATCAGGATGGGAGGGGTCTCAGTGCGAGAAAAGTAAGTCCAATTTATTTGTTTCAATGAACAGTTTATTTATCTGACGACATAAAATGGCTATGGAAGGCTAGAGGAAATATAATTTTTGAATGCAGAGCTGAACAATCACAAACATACAATACAACTTTCTCTTACACTAAATGTAAGAGAAATGTGTGAAAATGCCTTTTTGTCTTCACATGAACATGAGGCTAGTCAGTGCTTAACAATAGTTATTAAAACTGGTCACCATATTTTGATTGAGTGCATAGACTGAATGAGGCAGCACTGCTAATTCGCCGCCTCTCACCAATGCTGCTCAATTTTGAGTCCTGCTGATCTCGATGTCGTATGTGAGTAGAGTTGTTTGTTGGTTCTCTCCTAAGCTTCAAGGGTTTTTCTCCGGGTTCTCCAGTTTTCCTCCCTCCTCAAAAATCAACTTCTAAATTCTAATTCGATCTTTGGGCTTTCACTTAGTTTGAAGCCTAGCTCTGTTGTGATTGTCCCACGCTGTGATACAACGGCGAAAAGCTTTGTAGATATTGAGTGACCATGATCACCTTGTATTATAGATATCAATGAATGTGCTGCCTCACCATGTGTTAATGGAAGGAAGTGCATAGATTTGGTGAATGATTATGCATGTGAGTGTCAAACTGGATGGAAGGGAAGGAACTGTGATGAAAGTAAGTACTGGTAAATGGAATCTGATCTTGAGAAGAAATAACAAGGGATTACAACAAAATAATACTAGCTGTACTCATACATCAGGCCACATCATTTATCTGACAGATAAATCTTACCCAGTGTGGTTAAATTTATTGGATAACAGCATCGACTTATCCACTGGATAGGGTTTTATTCGTCGGATAGCGCTATCCAGTCCTTCGTACAATCGGGCCCAGATTGCAAAAGAGAAGAGAATAGAATAGAAACTAATTTGAAATAAAACGAAGTATGGGTGGGTTGTGTTGTTAATAGCAGCACCTTACTGCTGTTGTTGCGGATTCATTCATTCAGGACTAAGAAGTAATTTTATTACCTTTTGTTTTTTTTTATTTTTTACTAGACGTCAATGATTGTGCTGGGCAGTGCAAGAACAACGGCACATGCGTAGACAAAACTAACGATTACAGGTGTAACTGCCCAGAAGGTTTTACTGGAAAAAACTGTGAGGTCATTAAAGATTACTGCCAAAGCAACCCTTGCCTTAACGGTGGCATTTGTAAGGGCGTTGTCCATGATTATCAGTGCGTATGCCCTGTTGGCTTTCAAGGAACTAATTGTCAGTTCCGTGTCAACGAATGCTTTCCAAACCCCTGCAAACACGGACATTGCAGAGATCTTATCGGTGATTACAAGTGTATCTGCAGCTCTGGTTTCACAGGAAGAAATTGTACTGAAGTGTTATCCGGTGACAGTACTTGTAACCCAGACYCATGTTTTCATGGTGCAACCTGCATCAAGCTATCCAGTAAAAGCAGCCAGTGCAAATGTGCTCCTGGATACACTGGAGCCTTTTGTGAGACCAATATCAATGAGTGTTTATCATCACCTTGTAAAAACGGCGCTAATTGTATCGATATGGTCAATGGATTCAAGTGCGTCTGTCAACCAGGTTTCACTGGTCCGCTTTGTATCGACGATATCAACGAGTGCGCATCATCTCCCTGTCATTCCTCGGCAACGTGTATCGATAAGGTCAATGATTATCAGTGTCGGTGTGCACCGGGGTATACGGGAGTCAACTGTGATCATAATGTTGATGATTGTGGTCGTAATAACCCTTGCAGGAACGGAGGAACCTGTGTTGACGAGGTCAACGGATACATCTGTAAATGCAGGTAATTATTATAGCTTGTTATAATTGCAACGTGAACCCTGAGATTAAGCTAGRAATTGGACGTGTTAAAACCTGGATTATCAATAAATGTTCAAGAAAAGATTGGATACCTACCATCAAGAAGTGCGCAAACAATTTTTACGACATGAAGAAATTCATGTCATTTCTTCTTTTTTCTTTTTTTCTTTTTCTTTTCGTTTTCTAATGAAAATCGGGGTAATCGAAAAGGGGGAAGCTTAAATTAACGATATATTTCTTTTTGCTTAAAGACCTGAATTCAGCGGTACACAGTGCGAAGTTGCTGTTAATAAGTGTCAGAGCAACCCATGTCTTAACAATGGTAGCTGCATTCAAGGTCTTGGTATCTCTATATGTACATGCCCTTTGGGTTTTACTGGTCAGAGGTGCGAGATCGCACTAAATGCCTGTGACTCTGCTCCTTGCTATGGTGCTAGTACCTGCATCCCCGATGTCAATGATTACAAATGCGTGTGCCCTGTAGGATACACTGGAAGAAACTGCGAAGTCAGGATCAATCATTGCAGTAAAATCCGTTGTCAGAATGGAGGAACCTGCGCTAATGGTCCGTACAAAGCAACGTGTATATGTGAAGCAGGATACACTGGAGACAAGTGCGAGATAGATATCAACGAATGCGATTCACATCCTTGTCAACATGGTGGTAAATGCTTCGATCGGGTTAACAGTTTTTTTTGTAGCTGCCCTACCGGGACAAGAGGACATTTTTGCGAGCAAGGTAATATATTATCCGATTCAGTGTTAACAAACTTATGCAGGGCTCGGTTCTCCGAAGGGTCAATAGCGCTGTGCGACGGATAAATCTTATCCAGTGGATAATGTTATTGGATAAAAACATTAACTTATCCACTGGATAAGGATTTATCCGTTGCATAGTGCTATCCACCCATTTATAAAACCGGGCCAAGGTCTTCATTATCCTGTTCGAGCCTGGCGCTCTACCTTTAAGCTTGAATTTTGTTGGACATAGAAACACAAGAGAATTAAGTTATGGCAATCGACTGCTAAAAGAGAGATTTTCGTAGGATTCTGAAACCTTGCAGTACCTGCCTTGCAAGCGCAACGTGCGGTATCGGCCGTAAAATTAAACGTTTTTTTAAGTTAACAYTTCGTTTGAATTGTCCCATCAAGACCCCACTTACTACAGTAATAGACAGATTCACGATAAACCAGTGAACACTTATATATGAAATCCGCTGTAGTATTCAGGTACCACGGAGACGGGGGGGGGGGGGGGGGGGGGAGCTGAAGGGCTATTTAGCCCCTTATATTTTTCAATCTTAGCCCCCTCATCCTCCCTCCCTAACCTACGTTTTAGGGTCGTCCTTGGTCCTCGTTATTAATCTAGGGTTTTGTCTTTATTTCAGTGATGGACTCATGCAAGATCGCCGTTCTTAGAAACGGCACCTCAAGTGAGTTAGTTGACTCTAAAGTATGTGGTGACCATGGAACATGTCAGAACATCGATGGCGGCGATTTTAAATGCAACTGCGATCAAGGATTCACTGGCAACCATTGTCACATCAGTAAGTCAATCGTCAATTTTTCGAAAGAATTAACTACGTTACAACGGTTGCAAGAAGAGAATGAGCTTCATGAAGCAAATCTACAAAATAATTCAAACTCTAAGTTTTACTTAAGATTTCTCATTGGTTTGGATTTTATGGCTTAATAATGTGTCTCAACAAGCTGCAGCAAATTCGAGAAATATTTGTCAGCCAAGGTCTCTACGTTCCTCATACATGGTCAAGGATATTTACCATACTGAAGGCGTAGGAGGATCGCAGTTAATAACCACTGCGCGAACAGTTTTACTAGCAAGTTCTATATAGATCATGTTGGAAACTTGACTAATTACACCCATATGTTGTGTTTTCTTGTTATGTAGATGTTGATGACTGTGTAAATCACCAGTGTCGTAATGGAGGAACCTGCCTTGATGGAATTGGCTCTTATAAGTGTATTTGTAAGAACGGATGGGAAGGTCGCTTCTGCGAAACAAGTAGGTTTTAAATTAAGTAACTACGATTGTAGAGCAAATTTTGTGTGACTGTGAAAATCTAACGGTACGTACGTGCGTGCCGTGCTGTGCCATGCTGTGCTATAACGATGTATCATCGATGATTCAAAGTAATTTTATCTCGCTTGTGATTGGTTCAAAGGAGGTGGTCAATTTCTTTCCGTGATATTACCTCGTGCCATGCTATTCGTTGTATTGTATCAGAAACTATATATTCTTTTGCAGCACACGTGACTGTCCACGCCCACACATAACACCAATAATCCTACATAATTATTTCAAGTCGGTTACTAGTTTTAAAAGCATTATGTAATGTTTGTGTACAGATTTTGACGACTGCAAAAGTGCTCCTTGCAACAACAATGGAACGTGCACAGATCTTGTCAACGATTTTGTCTGCAGCTGCCCTCCACAGTGGAAAGGCAAAACGTGTAGCTCAAGTAAGCGTATGTTGTTTTTTCTTGTTATTTGAATGCTTATTAATAATGAAAGCCTGCCCGAGGCGATGCCTGAGGAGATACTTAATATGGAGATGGTCAATCTTTAAGATAATCAGCAGGTACTTTGGTCATGAAAAAATTGACGCCAGGGTCACGGAAATCCTAACTACGACAAGTCTTGAGGCTAATATAAGAAAACTAGTAAAAACGTTACAGGCAAAAAGTAGCTAAATCTTGCAGAATTTGCATTGCAGTTTTTAAGTATATCAATAATTACATAGATTATGATTTCAATTTCTTAACAAATGAATCTATACATAATTATTGTACTCGCCGCCGTCAACATACATCTTCCTACTGTTCGCACAAATTGCGGCAAACAATGTTTTAGTTTTCATGCGGCGAAGGAATGGAACAATCTAGATAATTCTGTAAGAAATGCCCCAAATTTAAAAGAATTTAGAAAATTACTTTGATTAGATTACATATACATAGTATACATAGAATTTATAATACATTTGTTAGATATACATCTACATAGCTATAATAATAACTATTTTAATTATTTATATATTTCTGTATTTCTGTATACTTATTTTATATTACTTCTAACTTTTTTAAACTTTTTAACCTATTTTCATATTTATTTAATAGTAATGATGAAAAGGTAAATTATACAGCGTGAAAAGATGAAAAAACTTACTGACGTTTCGGACGCTAGTCCTTCGTACTCCGACGAAGGACTAGCGTCCGAAACGTCAGTAAGTTTCTTCATCTTTTCACGGTGTATAATTTACCTTTTCATCATTACTGTTTCATTAGAAACACCGACGCAGCTCACACTAGTTTTTAGCTAGTTATATCTATTAATACTTTATTCATTTAGTTTTATTATGTTAGGGCATCTTTGAAAATCGCTTTTGTATCTTCTTCGCGATACTCCGCTTTGCGGTATACGTTGAAGATACAGAAAATTCGTGCAAACTCTTTGCGGCCGCAGCATTACGTTGGACTAATAATCTTGATGTGTTATGTTACTCTTACATTGAACACAATGTACTAACAAGAGAGGCTAAAAAAGTCCCGCAAATTTTTTGCCGCAATATTGCGTGCCACTTTTTTTTTTCTCAAACTAAATTTGCTTGAAGAAGAGATTATACCGTATTTTCGTTTTTAAGCATCGTCTATTACAAAAACTCTTTAAAGTAAGTCACATCTGAATAACCTCATGCAGAGAAATTGCTATTCTATTAACCTCCAAGCTTTACGCTGTACTCTAAAGACTCAAAGACGCCTAAAGACGTCGTAATGCGCTACGCCTAACCATACAATCCCCGCGTTTTTATTCAGCATAACATAGCCAAATAGAACCTACTTTCTTTTATGAAAATCAATAAGTTAAAGCTAAAACAAAAACAAGTTTGAAGTTTATTCTTATTAACACAGTATATTTTTAATAGGTAACTCCAGCTGTGAGGTGAATCCATGTAACAACGGTGGTACCTGTAAAGAGATCGGGAACAATTTCCACTGTTTGTGTCAAAAGGGATTCAGTGGGCGAACGTGTCAGCTAGGTAGGTTCGTCTTTTATCATTGACATTTAATAGTGTATTTGCATGTTTGTTTTCATCGATGACAAACTTCATTCCCTTTTGAAGCGTTTCTTCTTTCATTCTCATGTTCATTCTATTTCAACTTTCTTCAATCTCTATTCGTTAAGCCTGGTTTCCATTTGATCGCTTCGATCGCCCCAGAAACGGGTTTCGGCTTTCAGCTATCGCAGCGATCATATGGAAACACATCTTAGTCAGCGCTCGCAGCGTTATTATCAAACACGACACAAAGCTCTTTTCACCACAAGATCGCTTTTAATTGCTATCGTGTCTAAGGGTTCGGCGAGATCGATAATACACGTATACAATGCATCTGATATCTGCGAGGACAAAGGCGGACGAAGGGTTTTGCCTCTAAGCATGACCTTGATAATATATTAAACTAACTAATATCATGCATACATTTACCTACGAAGGTCAATGTGAATTAAAACTCAACAACAACTACAAAACAAAAACTGAGTGTTATCTCGAGTGTTTTCTCTTGACAAATGGGTAATTGCCTTAGCTTTCAGTAGCCTAAACAATTGTATTTGTGATTTAACTGGACTCGAAGAATTCATTGTTAATAAAGCAGGTGTTGTGCATGTATTTTTGATTTTAATAGAAATATACTACAGCACGCGGGATCGCGCAAATATTCGGTGAACTCGGAAACATTTAAATCATAGAAGATCTACTTCTATTTTGTATACTAGTACTATTTCTTTACTTGTTATGTTGCGGTTATACGGTTAAGAATGCATTGTATCTCTAGCGCGGCATGCGCAACTGAGTCTCTCACTTGAAAAAAAGGGAATAATTTGGACAACAACTGAGGTCCTTCAATTACATAACACTACCGCGAAACGAATAAAGAAAGTTGAACTCGATTGTTATGAGGCCTTTTCTTCTACTAACAGGCACGTTCTGCCTTCTGAGGCACGTTTTGGTGGTAGAAGCATGTCTATTTATTCTATAGTAACCATTATCTTGATTATGAGCAGATGTCTGCCTCTTGCTTACATCTCTATTCATTCTCTTTATATCACCATGAGTCAGTAGTGAAGTCCGGCTCTGCCTGTTGTTGCTTTAAGAAATAACACGAGCAAGTTATTACGCTTTTCCGAGCGAGAATCGAATTGTCAGAATAAACAAATCTCAACTGGGGATTGTCTAAGGGATTTTGAATGTATGATGCACGTTTCGCACCGATTTTTTGTCGAAAGAATTAGTTAAGTTTTGAGCGGATTTCAAGGCCCCGTCCACACGTACCCGCAAATTTTTGTATCCGCAATTCTTTTTTTACGGATACGGATTGCGTCCACACGTGTCCGCAAATTTTTGTGTCCATATCCTCAAATTTTACGAAAACGGATACGTGTGGACGGTGAAAACGATTCGAATACGCTGCGTGTGGACGCAAACATTTTCGTATCCGCAAAAAATAATTTGCGGATACAAAAATGTCCGGATACGTGTGGACGGGGCCCAAGAGTTAAAGTAAATGCAATAAAATTTTGTGTTTTGCCTTTTTGGCCCAGGTTCCTGTATTCCCTAAATACCCGTGAATTCCGTCGCTAAATAATATTGGATCACTTTAACTAAAAGTATAATTCATTTGTTTAGATTTTGGCAAGTGTTACTCAAGTCCTTGTAAGAATGGTGGAACCTGTATTGATATGGCTGGTGGTCAGGTGTCTTGTAGCTGTAAGAATGGCTGGGAAGGCTACTATTGTGAGAAAAGTAAGACTCAATAGAATGTTTTATGATTGGTTGGATTCTGTACAGTAGGTGTAGCCTTAAGGTTTCTCTATTCGATTGTCTTAGAGTTCTTTACAACCATCAGTGCCATTGTATTGTTGAGGATGCTACTAGAAAAAGAGAATGAGAGAATGAAACAGGAAATGGAAAGATTTTTTATTGTGCTGGAAAAAGAGAATGAAAAAGAGAATGAAAAAGAGAACGGAATGATTTTTGATAGTGTTACTACAAGTTGAATTAGAGAAATTAGAGAATAAGAGAAAAAAGGGGAAAATGGAAAGACTTTTGATTGTGCTACTAGAAAAAGAAAATGAGAGAACGAAAGAGAGAATGAAAAGGAACGTGCTGAAAATTGGAAAGCTCGCCTCTACAGAAAAAGGGACCACTAACTTACCAATAGAGAAAGAAATCAGTAACAATAGGAGATGGCACTTGCTCATAAATTGCAAAATTAAAATTTTTTAAAGAAATTAGGTACAAAGTAAAAGCGACCAGCAACTAAAGAAATAATAACATGACGATTTGAAATTGACGATTTGAAAAGCTACCTAAAATAGCTTTTCAGCTATTTTAGGTAGCTGTGCTCGTGTTTTTGCAATTTTAAATTTATGTTTCATGTAATTCTTTCCTCCTTTAGTGCAAATAAACTATTGTTGTTGTTGTTGTTGTTGTTGTTGTTGTTGTTGTTGTTGTTAATTGTAAAACATTTAACCCAGGGTAAAGAGCTCATATTACTGTCATCTACTAAGCTTAGGTAAAGTCCAATCATTTCCTGATTTGTTGTGTGTCTTGTCTAGATATTGATGACTGCGCAACAACCCCATGTTATAATGGTGGTACATGTGTGGATAAAGTTGGCTTCAGAGTGTGYTCCTGTGCTCCTGGTTTCTCGGGTCCTGACTGTAGGATCAACATAGATGAATGTGCATCCTCCCCTTGTTTAGCAGGTGCTAAGTGTATCGATCTGTTCGGTGGCTTCAAATGCCAGTGTCCGCCAGAGAAGATTGGCTTGAGATGTGAAGGTAAGAAAAGGGTGGTTCTTTATAACCTTTTTCAGCATTTGTTGTAGCAACACTGCTCAACTCTGCATTGTATATAGAAACACAAAAAATTGACTAATCAGTCTGCAGTATTCCCGCTTTGCATTATAGTCGGAGCATTAAGGCACTGACAAATGATCCAAATATTTGGCCCAACATTTAGCCAACATTGGTTGGGTCAAAGGTTGGGACTGTTTGTCATGGTCAAAATGTTGGGTCAAATTTTGGGTCAAAATACTGGGTCAAAACGTTGGTCATATTTTGGGTCAAATGTTGGGACCGTTTGTTAGGGCCTTTGTAGTCATCTGTGCGCTTCCTTGGTAGCTGTAAAGAGCGCCAAAACAATCAGCCTGTGCTTGGTACTTCCATGAAGTGTTCTTGTGGCTCTAAGTCCATAACTGTTTTAATATTTCAGCTGATGACCCTTACCTATGCAAGGAAGGTGATAAAACGTACTTACATAACACTACAACAAAAGAGGACTGCAATACATGTATATGCTACAAAGGAACGCGAACATGTACAAAGGTGGACTGTGGACCGCGGAATTGCAATAGTAGTAATCCTTTTGATACTTCGGCGTGTGACGACGGTGATGTCTGTAAACCCAAACAGACTAATTGTCTCAAGCCACCATGTGCTCAATATGGAGTCTGCTCGGGAGTCACCAGTACGTCTATTGGTGACGAGCGAGGGATTATAAGAGACGACTTTTGTTTGCCAAACTCCACTGATCTTAGTGGAGACTGCGCAAAGATTAACATCTTGTTTAACTTGCAGAAAATACCAGAGGTAATGTACCAGTACAGTTGTAATCTATTCCAATAAACATGACTAGTGTATCTTTTGTTGGAAAAAACTCGCGTTGACATGGCGGCTTTGGGGCGGATTCTGGGGTTGTAAAGAGGGTGCGTAGCAACCCTTCCTCACATCTCAATACAAATTCTGTTTAAAGATAATTAATTGAGCCCCAATAGTGAAGATTTTTGACATTTCGCTGTAAATCCCACCCCCAAAAACTCTGTCTCAGTATCTGGCCTTTCTGTTATGATGTCAAATATATGCAAAGGAACGCTTAGTCAAAGATTGTATAATTGTTTAAGAAGTGTTATTTTGCTTTCTTTTAAACATTTTCATGGTCTGATTCTAGGGTACGATAATGGAAGAGTTCTGTCGTCAATTGCGTTATCTGCCGTTATTACGAAAATATTCATTAAAGGCTCATATCCGTTTACTCTGTGGTGGAAAATGGCCAGAACAGCCTGTCATACAGCAGGACACTAAAACTGTTGTTGTTTCAGTGGTAAGCTTTCGATTTTTTATTTGTCACTTTCTCTTTTCTCTTCTCTTCTCTTCTCTTCTCCGAATAGCATCAGTGAAACTCAACGTTCTCTTTATAACTATTTCCAGGCTAGCTCTTCAAAATCGGGAGTGGCTGAGAAGGCAGCTGTTGATATCGCGAGGTTTATCCGATCGCCACCTAATGATCGTTCTGGAATCAACGTCACTCTGTACAAAGTATTAATAGCTGTAAGAGAAGTGTCCGTGGAACGATCTGTCACTCTTTCCTTTCACAAAGATAAAGGTAGGTCGTTGTTTCCGATCTCATACGTGTTTGTGTATGCCTTAGAGTTGATTAAATTTTGAACTTTTGTTTATCGTGCTATTATCCTTTTGTCAGAAACGGAAGCACCTACGTACTTAATCCCTGTGATAGCGTCTCTGGTTGTACTGGCTGCAATACTTTTACTTATATTATGCATRCGAGGCAAATGGCGGGACAGAAAGCAAAGAGAAGATGGACTAACACTGCTGACCAAGAAACGAAATCGTCCCCTCGAAAAAGTCACGAGTAATGGTAGGAAATACTATAATCAAACATCATCAGATTCATCATCATCAGCTCACTCATCATCAACACACTCCACAGAATTAAGAAACTTTGATTACAACAGAGCAAGTTTACTCGAATCCACTTCGACTTGCTCTATCCCACCTGTTCTCTCCCCACCCCTATCCCCTAGGGAAGAAGGGGCTAAAGACGAATGGCGGAGATTTCAGGTTCGCCGAAATAGTACACAAATAGAAATAATTGTATAGTTTAATCTCATATAGAAAATATACTTACATAGAGTATACCATAGCAATTGTAGAAAGAATATTCGAGAATATTAATATTATGAACAAAGTAAATAATGACATTATGCAGAATTCAGATTTTTCTAAATATGAATCGAATTGCTCGACTTTTCGAAGGTGAGAGGAAGACTGGTAACAAACTCTTGCAACATTGAATTATGGGTAAAAAGGATGTCAGCCCCATAATTCCATTTGCTACGGGTCATCACCAGCGTCCTTTCAACTTTGGAAAAAGAAATCGTGCCTATTAATGTTGAGCTCCAAGGGTAGAAACAAGGGGGCAGACCCATAGTCAACTTTCGTTATTCTGGTTGAATGATCAAGCACAAAACAATCTGGGTCGAGGCTCCGGCGAAACAAAATTATCATAATTACGATTACATTGTTGTTTCCCTAAAAACTTGATTCGGATTGCTTTGTGCTTGAACACTCGACCAGAATGTCAAATTTCCCACCGTTAGAACCTCGCCAGCCCACCCCGGTAGTGACGTATTTAAGCCCCCCCCCCTCCTCCTCTCCCCCCAAACCTAGAGCTCAACATTGATAGGTACATTAGTATCTTGTCGTTAAGGTAAAGCATGGTTATTCGTTTATAGTCGTGGTTGCATAATTTGAATGTTATCTTTAAATTAGTAGTAATTTATTTGATAGCATGTATGGTGCGTGTCTCTCTCTAGGTTGTTTCTGCATGGTCAGTTAAATTTATTTATAAATGTTTTTTTTAAGAAATCTGTATATATGTAAATGTATTAATATTATTTAATATTTAAATGCCGTGTAGTTCACGTTGGACCACCAGACGTTCACGTACTTGTATGTACGATCACCACTTTACAGTTAAATTACCTTATTACAGAGGTCTACTTTTGTTCTCCTGACAAACGTCAGGACAATCTAACCTCGTTGGGTATTTTTAACAAATTTTAGGTATTTCAAAGATTTAATTAGGTTATATTTGATTACTGCTGTATTTGGAATCAAATACCTCACATCGAGGCTCGAAGGGTTTGTCATATGAACCTTAAACCTCGGTTTCAAGTAGAGAAGAAATGCTTCGTATCGAGGTTTAATTCATGTAATATGTACTTCTGGCCTTGGCATGACGTATTTCATTCTGCTATGAATCAACTCAAAATAGCGTAGAAAGACCTATATACACATATTCTGTATAACTTTAAACCTAAAAATCGTGTTAAAACTACTTAAAGTTCTGTTTAAGCCTTACCCGGTAGTCCTTGCATTAAACTGGGTCGTCATGGCCCCTATTTGGTGCGCGTAACCATAATTAATACCATCCTAGCTTTTGATGACGATAAAAAGATAAARACAACCCGTACAGGTCTATATTTCCGGTAACCAATGTAACAATGAGATCCATTTTGTAAATTTCAATTTTGTAGCAATATAGTTTTGTAAAAAATATTCAATTAATAATTGAGCTGTAGAATCGAGACGGTCGTTCGTTTGACCGACTGAGGACGTATAATCCTTGTGAAGATTAGAAAAAAATCCTTAAAAAATATTATTTTCTATATGAACTTGTTAATCGCGATGTTAAACTTTTTTAAAGTTAAAATTTAAAATCTTAATGAAGTCAGATAGTTTTAGAGTATTTTTGTATACGAGTCCAGCTTTCGTGGCTGTTTTAATATGACGATTATTTCGTTTGGTTTCGTGTCCGTAACATATAATGCTAATAGTCGTTACTTTAGTTTATCATCGCGCAGCAAGCTTAACGTTGAGCTATTTTTATTACCAATGAAAGTAATGGAGAACAGAATTTTTACTTGGGTTGCCTGTGGCATACATCAAGTTTTTGCCACAGGGATCCCAACTTGATACCCCATACTCCTCGCACATGGGCATTTATTCAAGTAGGGGGTGTAATCCCCCTATTAATCTAGGTTAAGGTTACTAACGTCTGGTTTTGCATTCGATACCTCTTGTGTTTTACTCTCATTGAAAATGAAAATAGTGAATAAGCTCTATTAATTATGTACAGCGAGCTTACATGCATAATATTTAGAATACATTTAACGTGTAACAGACGATATGGAATAGCACGGCACTTGATCATTTTCCGCTAAATTTTTCAGATTGTTTACTTTGCTAGATTTCTTTTCAAATGGTCCAAATTTGTCGTTGTGGCGGGAAAATGGTCACGTGTCATGTGAGAAGCATATCGCTCATTCGCTGGCATCCCAAGCATGCTTTAGAAAAACTCGCTTTATATAACGTTTGTAGAATAGCCAGTTGTTGAAACACTTCTGGCGTTAGTTTATTGTAGGCAAACGGGTTCAGCTGCATATTTAAAGGTGCGGTATACAATTTTAAGTGTTTCTAACACATACGATTTGCATTGGTAAAGTCTGGCATCTAAAATGGTGCAAATTTAATGTTACTAGCAATATGGAACTAGGAATGCGTGCGTGCGCATCTTAAAGTGCATATGACACGAAAACATTTTAATGTTAAAAATGTGTATTCTATTGGCATGAATAAGAATATCACAGTTAAATTTGTTTCAAAAACGTATTTCTCTAGAAATTCAAGAAAATTTAGCACATGTTGTGACGTCATTTTGTTTACAAGTCTCCAGATTTAGTTGCAAATACACGAAATTTGTTTGAATGCAGAATCTTAAATTCGGGTAGTACACTTTTCAGTTTCCCACCATTTGAAGAGTATTTCGTAAGCTATCAAATGAAGCTGAATAGAATATGCCTTTTGTTGTTATTTTATAAGAATTACAATTTATGTTTAGTGCATTTCTACCGAATCTAGAGTACGTGTCAACAAAATGACGTCACAAATTGGGCTTAATTTTCTCAAATATCTCAAGAAATAAGCTTTTGAAACAAATTTTATTACGACATATTTATYATTATTAACAAACTATACATTTTAAACGATGAAATGTTTTCGTGTCATATACACTTTAAAGAGTGGTTGCAAAATCAAAGAAAGCTGTAATATAGCCCTTTACCTACAGTCTACACTTTGATTTTGTGTCCCCTCAATAGGCCATGTCCGAGATATTAAAATTCTAGCACGATACAGAGAGTCTCCTATTTTTAAAATAGCATTAAACATACAAAAAGATCAGTGCTAGATCAGATATTGTGCTGTATATTTCATTTCAACGTTACTGACTAGCATTTCTACCAAAATTTCGTGGGAACGCGGTATATGATTATTATTTTATTCCTACCAATAAATGAATTTGGTGACCCACGTGTTTATACCATACAAGAAGTATCTTAGGACTAAAGCCTCGCAATCAAAGCTGAATTTCAAGATATCAAACGTGGCCTATAGTTTAGATCCGAATGAGTGCGCATGCGCACGCAGCTCTGACTGAGAAAAAAGGTCAGTAATTAAAGACAGACACTGAAAATGTATTGGTACGTATTTAAAATCAAAGTTGGTAGCCCGGCATAAAAATGAATATTAAGTCATTGATGCCGGCGTTGTAGAGACCTTTTGCGCAAAATCACGGATATGAATATTAAGTTAGTCTCGCGTCGTAAAGACCTTTGGCGCGAAAACTCGGATTCTTCTCCAGAGGGTCAATAGTCAGTGCTATCGTAAGCATATAAATATAATATCTTAAATATAAGTATTTAACGAGAAGTTCTAATGTATGGTTATAAGAACAGGAGTGTTGTACAGGAGTCTGTAATATTATGCACAGCCAGCAGCTAACTGCGGGGCAAATGTGAAATGTAATGCACCATTAGTCCATCTGCATATCCAAATCCTTCACAGCCATAAAATATCGACAAATATTAAATAAACGAAAACAAATCTGTTATAAGAATATGTTTTTCTTTGCCATTTAGTCCTTGGTTTTACTTGATTCTAGAATCTTAAACCTGGTTCTCAYCTAGCGACGCAAGCAGACGTATTCAACTCCATATTCTATGAAAAGGAGCGACGCATGCGCAACAGAACAGAAGATTACTTTTTTCTTATGTTATCTTCGCTTGTACCAAGCGAAGAAGTGACTTTGAGAGAAGTGAGAACCAGGCTTAAGTGCAAATGGTAGAGGGCCGGATTGACGGAAAAAGGGAAAAAATGAAATGTTCAATTGAAAAAACCTTTAATACCAGTTCATAATAGTCATCGTCATATATTAACGTTGCCTTCAAAATATTGCCTGAAAAACTTTACCGCGCTCAAATAGAGTAAAGTCATTCAAACCCGTGAAATAGATGTTAGACTAATCACATTTGACGGCCCTAATTCCATTGTCTTCTTTTGTGTCTATTTGATTATTACACGTTGACTAGTATTTTTTATTTCACGGGTTAAATGCCTTCACTCTATTATCATGCTTTTCTAGTCCTGACTAGATAAATACATCTATACCTTGATTTTTTTTTTTTTTAATAATTTTCTATCGGTCTCTGAAATCTCAAACCTTTTCGGTCCAGAAGGTTCTTCTTTGGAACGCCTTTTCAACATGTCTCTATCAGCAAAACTTACTTCGGAAGATTGTTCACCTCGTTTTAGTGTTTCCGTCCCGATCCCCTCCACTTCTTCCAGACATGTGAATATAGAACAAAATTTGAAAAGTATCCTAATCTTCTTCTGTATTTAGAAAGCCATCGTGACTATTATCAGGACAAAAATTCGTAGTCCATCGTATACAGTCGATGTTTCTACAAGCTTTGCAGAAATTCGAGTCACTCGAGTAGAGTAGAATAAATCCAGCCACAGTAAGTGTTATGAATAAAGATAACGCAATCCCTTTTGAGATCCAGTCACGCCAAAAGCGTTCTGTTGTCACAACATCTGGTTCTGGTACTTTTCGAGGTAGCAATACTATTGTCGCTAATAAGCCGAATATAAAGCCGCCGATATGGACGAAGTTACCTATATACGGCAAAGTCCCAATAGCTGTGGAGAGAATATATTATTAAATAATGAGAAACGATTTTCTGAATGAGATATGAACTATTAGGCGTGGTTCTCAAATGTAGCTCGGAATGCAGCTCAAGTTGGAGGACAATTCTCAGGAGATTGAAATTCTTTTGTTTTGTCCTCCAAATTGAGCTGCTTTGACGTCACATCAAGGGTCTATAGAGAGAGAGGGAGAAAAGAAAGCAATATTTAAAAATTCGAAGAAAATAGACTTTCCACGTTTTGTTACTTACCAAAGCTGATCAAAATAATAGTAATCAAAACACACAAATCACAGAAAGGTTTTTGGAGCAGCCTATAATAGCGGACATACCAGACCAAAATTATGGCTAAAAACCCAAAGAGCGCACCCGAAGCACCAACCTGTGTAAAAGAAATACAAAATGGAATTTCAGTCATGTGATGACCTCCCTTTTGAGCCTTTCCCTCGAACAAATCAAAACTCCTTAAAAACCTGCTTTTCTGGTTAATCAAGTTTTTACCTCAGGCAAGAGAGGAGTGAAAATTCCACTGACTAGATTCCCACCAAACCCACTGATAAGGTATATCAGGGCAGTGCGCACGGTTCTGCAATATAATAAAGAAGAGCTGAGTAATCTAGATATCGTAGATGTATTTGCTTAGAATCTGGCGATAGAAACTTCCCGCCCAATTTTCGAGCAATTTTTTGGTGATTTCTCTTCACGGCGCTTGCCATCCATACCCTCATTTCCCGGCCTGAAATTTTTGCGATCCCATTCCCAAATCTTAAATCAATTCCTTTTGCCATTTAGACATATTTAATAGAAAACAATGCCTAGGCAGCCCCTTAATGTACCATTTGTAATGTTTTTATGTCCTCGTTATAAGAACGTAACCCTAATATAGATGATGGCGCACAAAAAAAATCAAGCGTTCTAGCACACGTTGCTTTTATTACTTGGAAATTTCAAAGGGATCAAAGAAGATATCCTAAAAGCTACACTCTATCAAAATAATATGCTTATTACCCAATTTCTTTCTCGATTTTGCTACCAAAAATGAGTTGAAAGATGAGATTTGTAAGAAGATGAAGAATTCCTACGAGTACAGAAAACATCTTATTAGTAAAATATAACGTTACTTCAACCCTAAGTTTGACAATAATGTTTGCCAAAAGCTCAATTTGAAATGGGAAAACATAACACCAAAGCCAGGTCTATTGAGTGTTTCTTTTGGAGGGTGGAGGGTAAAGGACAGGGCAATAGACTAAAATGTATATTTTTTCTCACCTATGTGCAAGAAAATAGGAGTAAGAAGTCTGTAGCCCTGATTTCCATGCGTTTGCATGGCACCCGTCATTCCACAGATATGGTCCATGCAGTTAACCTCACTGCACAACAACTGAAATCAATACAATAGTTATTTAGTAATGCCACACAACATGAACTTGTTTCAAACACTCAAGACAGAAGATAGAACACTACAGTGGATTCCAATCATTTCAGTAAAGCAAAAATAATAGACTGACTTGTAGTATTAATAGCCAATGTTTGAAATGCTGGTTGAGTTGTCAAGACTGCAACAAACATTTCAAGTCAAGACTATGGAAAGAATAATGTAATCATTCTTCTTCTGTCTCCCTGTAGCCTCCAAATTGTTTTGCTTCATCACTCAACCAGAATATCAAAAGTTGGCATTTGGGAAACTGTATACCTAAGTAAAAAGATATACTGGTGAAGAAAGATATAATACTCAAGGGATATCAAGTAGACTTACTTTATCTTTGTGCCATTGACCTCTTATTAACTTGCATTTTTCTTCTGACATTATTTCACATTCAGTGTGTAGTCCCATGCAGCATGGTCTAAGCAAGACACCAAAACTACATTTTTTATTTGTTGAATTGCAGGTTGTTTTGTTTCCAATGATTTGACTAGGATCCACACATCTATAAATAATGAGGAGACAAAGTATTAAGGCAGCCTTGACCGATTGGGTGGGGGGAGGGGGTAGCTGGCTGGATGGGAAGGGTGATGGATAGATGGGAAGGGTGATGGATGGACTGACAGATGGATGGGCAGAAAGACAGACAGTCAGACAAATGAAGAGATGGATGGGTGGGTGGATGTATGGGTGCATGGATGGATGGAATGACAGACAGATGGGCAGAAAGACAGACAGACAGACAAATGACAAATGACAGACAGATGGATGGATGGAGGATGGATGGATGGATGGATGGAAAGACAAACAGACAGATGGATGTGCTGACATATGGACCGATGGGCAGAGAGACAGAGACAGACAGACAAATGGAGAGATGGATGGAGGGATGGGTGGGTATATGTTTGGATGTGTGGGTGGCTAACATGAGTGTATCTAACTGGCTGGCCCACCAGCTAGATGAATGGATGGACAGATGAACAAAAGAATGGACAGACAGATGGATAAATGAAATATTATGAATGGATAGATGGTAAGAAACCATTAAATGTAAAACATAACTTATATTTACCTAGACTTGTTCATCATTCCACATTCTTCATTCAAGGAACAGCATCGATAATTTTCTTCTTTCTTCTTTCTATTTTCAATGCTTTTGACAATAACTTTKTCTGTTCGCATACACTATATGGTCAAAAAATATATGATAAAAATTCTTCATCTTTTGAGTTATTTGTAAAAAATACACCTTGATTTACAGACATATACAGACGTAGAAAACTTGTGCGTGCAGGTATTATGTGCAATAACATGCATTCAGTCATTTCCTGCCAAGTTATTTTCTACCTAGTGATCGAAGAGAGAGTTGAATTAACCTCCAAATTTTTAAGCCACAAACCAGCATTTTTGAAGCTTTTTCACAGAAAAAGCACCTCAAAATCACATAATAATCTTTATTTCATTTTTTTGAAATAAACCAACTACTCAGAGGAGAGATTTCAGAAGCAAAATTTGAACTATATCGATTAACAGCAATTAATAGCTATTGCTACCTGAGAATTCCTAAACCACGAATATTTAGGGTGGTAAGCCTGTGATCAGCCCAGAGGTTATTTCAAGATTACATAAAATTGAAGATTCTTTGAAGTTGCAGTACATGTGGTAATGAACTGATAAGAGCAGTTTTACTTATATGAGTGGGAAGCATATGATAAAAACTTAAAGCACATACATGGTACAACATGCCATAACATTGAAATGGCTTTCCATCGTATTCCAGTAATTCATCCAATCGCAAAACATCGGCTATAGACCTCCTTGGCTTGGGCATAATTTCCCATATCAGACCATGTGTCATTCCCTAGAGAATCCTTTCTTTGTTTAACGGTTGTGCTCAGTTGCACATGAAAAGACACATGAATATGAATACAACTCCCAACAAAGAATCTAATTCTCAAGGGAATGACAAATGGGACAACTATTACACCCAACAAGCCAAAGAGGTCTATTGTAAGATAGGGTATGGTCATTAATTTAAGTACAGCTACGTATTTGCCATATCATTTCCCACTCATATGAAAAACACTCTATAACAAGTAACAAAATAACTCACCGGAGAAAACAAGGCTCCCATTTGTACTAAAAATGAAGCATTTGGTCCAATGAAGATATTTGCACCAGGAATAACACCAATGCTTTCCTTGATGGTCTCATTTTCATAATTGTGTATATAACCAAATACTGATACATCTTGATATTTAGTGTCTGATTTAAATCCAATAGGTTCAATACTGCCAGTGGCACACGAATACACCAAGATAACAACTTCAATCAAGCTAACTAAATAAATAAATATGGGCCACCTCCGATTTCGGTGGATTGTTTCTGGTATCTGTGTGCTTTCGGAACTTGATTCCTTATTCTCATTTGCTTTCTTGTCTTTTGATCCTCGAGGTGGTGTTATGATGCAATGGTAGTTATTCCCAAGGTATCCAACAACTGAAGTTGGAAGCTCATCATAACTTATGCTTGATCTCAAAGTAGGGCGCTGAATCCGTGGGTATGATCCTTTGTCATCTGTATTATGGCAATGAAATGTATAAACTGTGTGTGTGTGTGTGTTTGGAGGGAGGGGGGATGAAGATGGAAAATTTTTGCTTAATATACAATATTTTCATAATTAATTCTTTGGATAGTGCATATAGTTGATTGTAAAAAATATTCAAGTGACGCATCTCATACGAAGCATAGTTAATATTATCTATTAACTATGTAAGAAGGTATATTCCCCCAATATGACTATGATGTAACATTAAGGAATCATTTAATGTTCTGGAATACAGTAATTTAAAAGCATCACCCTCTTACTTATGACTCATATAGAGGTTCTTGCAAATTTGTTCTCAAAAAATGTCCAGCGTTCAATATATTTAAACGTTGCCACAATAGCTCAAACCTCTTAAGTTGGAAATATAAACCTTGAAGCTATAAAGCTAGAAATCCTTGTTAGGTACGAAATCAAAATCAATTTTGTACATTACGTAATTGTTAGACAAAACCGGAAATCGAATGTTAATTAAAAAGAAAGTCAAACAAAACGATAAAAAATAAAATCTCAAAACGTAAATTTGCTTTAGAGCTTTACTTTGGTAGACCTGCGATTTCTTTGCTTCATTTTTCTATTTGAGTTTATTTTGATCGACATTATACTGTCAAAGGAACATTTTAGTTTCACTTTGTTGCACATAAACGATTCCACATCACCGTGCGAATTGTACTCGAGATCGTGCGATTTCCTATACAAATTATACTCGAATTTTGCATCTTATAAATACTGCAGCTACTGTTATGGTAAAAATCTCAGAGAAAACACAATCATTATTTCAAAATATACCTTACATGCGTGCAGATAAAGTGTAAGCTATTATGAACTTTCAATGAAATCTTTTTGAAAATAATGATTACCTTCAATATAAGAATGTTCTGCTTTGTCTGGCAGCAAAGGTCTTCTCTCTTCTCTCTCCATCGCACTGATTTAACGCCAAAGTTTTCGAACAGGAACTACAGACGTTCAAAGTTTCGAAATCATAAGTAGTACTAAACGTTAGGAGAAAATAACTATAGATCTCAGCACCCTTCAAAAACTTTAAGGGAGGGGAGGGTACATTGACTATTACGAAGACTTACAATTATAAATATAAAATACATAAATAAAACTGTAAAAAATATGGCAATTTGACTTTGTTTATTCAATATTTTAAATTAAAGAAAGTATTTTGTTTTGAATATAATTTTTGAGGAGAACAAAGAAGTGCAAAATAGGATTAATATACCCTCCACGCTTAGACCCCAATCTCTTTTACCGGAGCCGTCGTCTTGAAAACCGCGTCTTCAAAAATATTCAGTTGTCATAAGTAAATAGTAACTTCAAAATACTTGAATGTTGAATGAAAAACCTCGTAAAAAGGGCGAGAAATAAGAAAATAGAAGCTGAATAGGGAGCTCTGTGAAAGTATTTGTGAACTGGTAAGGTTTTAAATTTGAGAAAACTTGGAAAAGTTTTGAATTTCATTTTGGTTATTTTGGTTCATGTTCAACATGGTTCTCAAGTGAAAGATTTGAAACACTTTTCAACTTTTTCGTCTTTTATCGTCTAATCTTTTATCTTCTTTTCAATGTACTTAAATAATGTATTGTACAATATCATATATATATGTACCTAGTTTATGAAACACTGAGTTAAAGGAATTAATTAACAGAAAGAAAACAAAAAAATCAGAAATTTTGAAGTAAATTTAAAGCTTATATATATAAATTCTGAATACAATAGTATTTGACACCTCATCTGTTTAATTCTTTATTCTTTTTTATTCCATTCTTTTTTATTTCATTTTATTAGGTTTTAGAAAACACCATTTTTTTTGTCAAACTGGGACTCAAATATTCTGCAGTGGCAACAGAAGAAAAAACGAAAACAGATCATCGAAAAAGTAAAAATGTTCAGTTTTCCAATATTGTGGGTTTCAAGATTATGAGGAAACTCTGGATTATCTTCTTGTGCACAGTGTATTTTAATTGTTTGCTTGCAAAGGTGAGTGGAGAATGCATGGCACCTATATTTTAAAATTACACCATTGATATTTTATGTTTCTTGAATATACAAATACTTTTTTGTTATCTTTGTAGTTGTTATCATCATTATCATTATTACCATTATCCTCCTCATCGTCATCACCCCCATCATCAAAATCACCATCATCATTATCACCACTACCATCATCATCACCATAATCGTCATCGTCATCATTACCATCATAATTATCATAATTATCACCATCATCATCACCATCACCATCGTCATCATCATCATTATCACCATCATCACCATAATACTGAATGATCATAATTATTTTTAGCTAATAATCTTTCTGCAACATGCATGTATCTTGATTGATATAAAAATATCTGCCAATTTTATCAGTTAATTGATGAATAGTTACTGATATTTCAATCCTTCATTCTTTAGGGAAAGTACTGCCAGTTTGATTCTTGCAAAAATGGTAGGTTTATATAATATAGTAGGGTGGAAAAAGGTTTATCAGTTATAATGATTCATAATGATTGATATAAAATGTGTACTCTTCAATTTTAGGGGGGCTTTTATTCGTTAGGTCTGATAATGGGGGTAAGGAAAATGTTAATTTTTTGAGGGGGAGGGGGGCTATTTTTTGGAGTTTTGAAGATTAATTAATGGAGGAGAAGGTTTCTGAATAGCTATAGTTGGGGTGGGTAAGATATTTTTGCCCAC